GGACATAATTTAAGTAAGTCATCCAGCTGAAATAGAAAGAGGTGAAAGAAATCAGACTGCAGTTACTGAAGCTCTGACTGCACAGGACAGGGCTCTTTGTCGCAATCCACCGCCTCTGATGTTTGGTGAAAAAAATGTGTTTTTGGGTCACTTCCTCTGTAAGTTTCTCTCACTCCTGATCCTGAATCCTGAAGGAAGACTGAAGTTCCTATTTTTTCTATCTTGTTCCATCAGAGTTAACTTAATTTGAGCCAAAGACACCAAACCAAAGGACTGAATTACCCCAGTTTGAGTAAACTAAGCGTGCCTGGTAGGCACCCTAAAACCAAATCTACTTAGTCTATGACCTTAGATCAACAACTTTACTGACAATATACACGGACGTGTCTTCTTTCAGACTTTGAGCTCATTCTTTTTCTTCAACCAGAAGGTCTCTGCTGTGCCTGATATCAACAAGCTGTGAGATGAGACCCAGCAGACTGACAGGTAGACACATCAACAGCTTGTGTCATTAATATTGAAGCACTCTCTTCCGGCCTCGGGTCATGCCGAGATCTTACACAAGGTGAGCATCTCATTACGACTGCAGGTCATAATCATGAGGCCAAATCTGGTATTAGCTGATTCATAATTTACATCGTGCGAGGAGGCTGCAAGTGTTCACTCAGGTGCAGCGGCTGAGCTGCTGTGTTCCCCTGAAAAGGAATCCATCCAAAATAAGACCCTTACAAACAATATTCAATCAAACCTGTAAGGAAAAAAGAACAATAACATATAACCTGCTTCCAACAACTCAGATAGCAACAATAAACCACAAAGTTGATGAGTTTTGATTAGTAGGATATATAAAAAATACATAAAAAAAATATGTAACATCTAAACACTGTGTGTTGTAAATGAGTGCGTGAAAACTAGTAAATAGTTGAAATATTGGCTATAAAAATAACAGATAAATAATTGCAACAGTTGCTAACTGATAAACCGTTGAAATAGATATTGAATATATGGCTAAAAGGGAAGCAAATAGTTGAAACAGCTAACAGTTGATATATTTAGCTACAAATAATTGATAAATTATTAAGATAGATAGCTAAAAGCAGTGATAGAACAGTTTGTATGAAATAGAAATTGAAATGGTTAAAATAATAATATAGCTAACAGTTTATATAAAACTAATGGATAAATGGTTCAAATAGATATATAAATGATTAAAGAGTTAAAAGTAATGTATACAGTATGACGTTGTTGAAACTAATGGATACATGGTTGAAATAAAATAGCTAAGGAAAAATTAAATAGTTCAAAGCAAAGAATCCAAAGTTGAAGTAGTAAGCTAATAGTAATGGATAGATGGTTGAAACGTGTAGTTTCTACCAGTACAAGTGGTAGTAGTATCCTACGCAAAATTGACCAAACCAACCTAAATTCAGTTGCATGACAACAGTACTGTAACTACTGTAGCAGTTTAGTTTAGAGAATATTAGATCAGAGATGAAACTGAAACTGACAGAAGGGCAGGAAGTCACAATTACAAATCCGCCTGCTGCTTCAGCACCACGGACAGCGCCGTGGATTTATTAATACACAGCACAGTTAGGCTACTGATGTTTCAGAGCCGTGGTCAGGGCCACAGAGTCTAACTTGGGGTGGCAGGTTAACAAGGTGGATGCATTTTGGTTATTTTGCTTAACAGGGGGAGAGCATCTTTCCTCATTCCCACTCAAATTGCCTACTGGATACCTCTGACAAAAAGGGTTAGGAACCACTGACATAGGATGTTTAATGAATATGACATAGCCAATCCTTCTCGGTCCTTCAATAAAAACATTGCTGATGATCCTTAAACATCAACGAAAGACGGTCATTGTGCAAATTAACGAGAACAAGGATCATTAATTGCCTGCAAACACTACTTGGTCCAGCTTTGTCTAGAGAAAACAATGCCTTGTTGTTGTTTTTTTGGCTCTTCCTCCAGCACCGTTTCAGGCCTAAGAACAAACAACACTGGAAACATGTTGTGACCATAATCGCAGGTTTAGCAGCTCGTTACTCACAGCCCAGTCACTTCAGAGAGGGAGGGAGAGAGAGGAGCAAGATGATGAAGTCAAAGTGTATTATGTTCCCACATGGCTGATGCAGCATATTTGGAGCATGGTAATTCATCAATGTCAGGTGCTTGTGGAGAGCGGCTAATAGCTGTATCAGTGTAACTCACATGTTCTTATCTCTAGACTGTAAACTTGTTTTGTTTTTTTTTGTTCACCATGAGTATGTATGTACGAGTAAGCTATTCATGTAATGGATAAAAACCTGAAATAGCTGCATGACTCAGAATGGTTAAATTAAATATGATTTTACACAACAAACTTCCATTTTCATTTCATCAAGAGACGTGAACTGAGAATACCTCAAATAACACGCTCATACACAGGGACAGGAAAGTTTGGAGTGTGGCTTGTGTGAGAGAGAGAGAGATGAATACAGGGGAATGGATGGCAGATTAATAATGTCTGTCGGCCAACAAAGGGAGCCCGGGAGGATCTCTTACCTTGATGTGAGCTAGAATTAACTGTAGAAACACACAGAGACACAAACAAAGAGAGAAATGGACTTGCAGAGTTCATAACTCCTTGAGGGGGACTTCTAAAGGGTTTCTTTTTTTGCTGATGTGAGAGTTTCCCCACTCCATTAAAAAGTCAAATTCACTTTTCCCAAATTTAAAGGATCTCTTACTATCAAATCTCCCAGAAGTCTCCTCATTGGGTTATCTGTTGTTCTTCTTCAAAGTCAAGACAGGGGTAGTAAATAACACAAAGTAAATAAAAAAGAATAAATGCCAC